TGTGTTTGTGGCTGTGTTTGTGGTTGTGTGTTTGTGGCTGCGTTTGTGGTTTTGCTTGTGGTTGTGTGTTTGTGGCTGTGTGCTTGTGATTGTGTGCTGCGGCTGTGTTTTTGTGAGTGTGTTTGTGGTATTGTAGTTGTGGCTGTGTGTTTGTGATTGTGCTTGTGGCCGTGTTTGTGGTTGTGTGTTTGTCATTGTGCTTGTGGTTGTGTGTCTGTGACTGTGTTCTTTGTGGCTGTGTTTGTGATTGCGTGTTTGTGGCTGCTTGTGTTATTTTGTTGGTTGTGTATTGTGTGCTCTGTGTTTGTGAGTGGTTATATATGCTTTGTTCCTTGTGTATTCTGTATTGTGTGTTTCTTGTTGTTCTTGTTGTTGTAGTCATGTTTGTGGCTTTGCTTTGCTTTGTTTGTGGCTATGTGTGTTTGTGATTGTGTGTTGTGTGTTGAGGTCCGGTAGTGCCCACTGCGATCTGCCGTTTGCGCTTGGAGGTCAGTGCCCACTGTGATCTGGCGCTTGCGGTTGAGGTCCGGTAGTCCCCGGTAGTGCCTTCAACCGATCTCGCGCTTGCGGTTGAGGCCCGGCACTGTCCACTGCGTTCTGGTGCTTGCGACCTGGCACTTGCTGTTGAGGTCCGGCACTGCCCACTGCGATCTGGCACGTGCCCACTGTGATCTGACGCTCGGGGCGGAGGAGAAGGAGGAGGAGGAGAAGGAGAAGAAGGCTATCTGTAAAAATCTTACAACCCTGACCTGACACAGAGGTGGGGAAAACACCAAAAGTTGCTCGATTGACCACCAAGTCACGTCTGACAACTCTTCTAACTACATAGAGCATGCACGATGCCCCTTAAGAGTGCAGCGAGGCGTTGTCAAGTCCGCCCTCGCACCTGGGCAGGTCAGCCGCGGCTGCTTTTCAAGCCAGCTCCACGCACCTGAAGAGCATCAAGTTTCTGAAGAGCATGGACAAGATTCGCGACGCACGTGTTCCTGCCAAGTGCCGTCAGGCTCCATCTCAGAGATCTCGATGAGGCCAATACAACGGCAACGCGAAAACATGACGTGGAAGGAGGAGGGTGCAACTTGCTTCAATTACTGGCTGGCTAAGTTGGATACTTCTTCACATGCTGCATGGCTCTATCTTCGGTCACTGGCGGCGAGGAGGTGAACAAGTGAGAAGATAGGGCGACAAACGTTCCAGGCCTTTTCTATTGCATAAAATCAGGATGTCATAGAAATGTACACAATACAGAGTCTCACTTAGACAGCCCAAAGAGGCGCTGGCAGCAACAACAAAAGTTCTCGCCGGAAATGCTGGAATCACATCACAGAAGATAAGGCGTAGGATAAAGGCGCCCAAACACCTGAGTTTGTTTCTATCTAGTAGCTAAATGTATTCATGACTCGTTTCGGGCTAGACCGCGATTCCAAGGCAAGGCTGCGGTGTGGAGCACCACTGAAGGCCAGAGTGTTTGGATGCCACACCTATGACCTATGCATATGTATATTATGTATATATATATGATATATGTAATCTGTAACAATTCCCCTACACAAATTTGCAATGGGAATTTGACATTTGGCCTCGACTCTTAGGCACTTCGATATCCGCGCAACTGGAGGACCGTTTTGGGAATTTACGCCTCCAGATGCCTTCAGAACTTTTGCCAAAACCCAAAGCCTTGCTTCATGCTATAAAATATGCACAAGCGTCGTAGACAACATTTTGTTTGAATGAGAGGATAGCCTCCATGCACATCTTCCAGCAATTGGCAGAGTTGGTGCAAACGCTGTGAAGGACTTACAGGGATATGTCTTTGACAGTGTTGAGGTTTCTGGTGGTTAGTAAGTAAGTATTTTTTTGCGGGGAATCACACTCAGAGCACTCCGTTTTTTAGGTGTTGACTTTAGACATGCTCAGGCAGAGGGACTATATAGTCCAATTTCGAGTCACACTATCAGGTGCTGATGGCTGCTTTTCTTGGCCGATCTTGGGCTTCACGGGCTCAAGGAACACTTCATGGTGTCCTGGCTCTGATGCAGCCGGTAAACTGTGCGCCAGATTCTCTGAGATTCTGGCATCAGGAGATTCAGCTCCGCGTTTGCCTGTCGTGAGCACAGTTTGGGGTCATACTTGTTCCAAGAATTCAGACTGGTTCTTTGCCCCAAACTGAACTGTATAGAACTCACAGGCAGCCGCCTATGCCCAGCTTTTGCGCCGTCTTGGTCATGATTTTGCAGTGAACTGGCTAGGCTTGTTGCTTATCGATGATTATAGACGCATGATGACGCATGTCTTGTTGTTTCAATGTTTCTCCTTGCTTTGCATCAAGAGGGCCTGCACTGATGTGGGAGGTCTAACAGCTGCAGGCTGCGCCGTTGAAAGGTACAAGGATATACAAGTCAATGAAGGTCTTTTTCTGGAACTCATGAGACCTTGTGACAAGAGAGAGAGTCTTGTTGGGTCTTGTCGGATGGGCGGGATCCTGCGATACACGCATTCGCGTTCATTCGGGCATTCGACGATCGAAGAAACACATTTCAACTCAGTGCAATCAGTGCATTCCAACCAGGGAGCTCTTGAGAAGCTCGCTGGTTCAGCTTGTGATAATCAAGAGCCACGTAACTGATGAGCACGGAAGCTATGTAATTACTGTTCAACGATCAGACAATTGTAGCATATGGTAGCATCTTATTCCAGGTGATTCTGTTTTGGCTGTGAAAGCAACAAAGAAGGGTCGACCTCACGGACTTGGCTTCTCTTTTCGATTGGAGTGGCGTGCAGGTTGGCAGCTGCCTGAAGAAAGCCTGGCAAAGTCACTAGCACAGCAACTTTGTACGGTCGAGAAGGCCTGCCATTCTGGAAGTCAATCACCCTCATAATTAGCGTTGTTGATGTTGTTGGTTATAAATTGTAAAGCATTGCAAATCTTTCAAGCTTCGTCGAGGAAGATCAAATGCAGCCACGCAGCTCTTTTGTTATTTGATGGTCCGTCCTGAGATACCTAGTGCACAGCTTTGATAGGAAAATATTATGATTTCTCGGATGAAAATTGCTAGAGCTTGACTTAGGGGTTGCTGATGTTCTGTTCTAGTAGTTGGGCACAGATCGTTTTCAGATGTTCTAGTAAGTGGAACTACTACAGTAGGCAGAGACAATTAAATCTCAAAGTCCCAAAGTAGGATGCCAGCTCGATCATCCTGGAGCATGTCAAAACTTTGTCGAAGCATGAGGGAGTTGCGCGAGAGTGATGTCCGCAGCCTCCACAGAGTCACAAAGTGGTTCATCACTAGTAAGTGTCAAGCAATGCACCAATGGTTCACAATTCAGAAAGATTTCAAAGTTGTGTAGAGTCTAGACTTCACATTGAAGAGATTAGGGTGGTTGTTGGGTCGATTCGTTCAAGTCGTGTATGCATGTGTGTGTGTCTACATATGTACAGAGGTGTACATAGGTCACAATTTCAAGTTTGATTCTTGCACCAAAGTTCTCAGCATCGTGGCAGCATGCTTGTCGCAGGAAAGCTTTTGCAATATCGCCGCGGCTTTGTATAGCCAGCATGGTTGCAGCAGCTAAGAAGAACAGCATGTGGGTATATGATTGCTAGACTTCAGATACTTTAACACGTGGCTTGCTCCGGGAATCTACTGAACTCTCCCACCATTCAGACAAACAAGTCTTGTTTTCGGAAGATGTCCAAAATACATAATCATTGATTCCGAATCACCACACTATTGAATGACCACAGAGAAACATCTACTGACTGCTGGCTGAATCCAGGCTTGCAATGGCTAATTGCCACAGAACGAAAGTTGCCACAGCTGTGCAGAAGGCATGAGCTTGAACACTCCAAATAAGAGGGGTGGCCATTTGTAGCACTGCTGTTGCTCCTACGTCAAGAGATTTGGACTGCTTGCCTTTGCGAGGTTTCAGATGATTTGTCTCTTCAGGTCGCGCTGACCTTGGTCATCCTAGCTTCTAAGCGCCAATGCTGACAAGGACAATGTTTTTTTGCCTTTCGAGCATTGTGAGTATGAGGCCTTCTCGATGCTCTTGGCCTTGCTGCAGGATGTTTGCGAGACAGCGGAACAGGCACATTGCGTTTGGTGCTTAACAACGACTGGTGGATATTATGGAATTATCTGGACAATGCTTGCGGACAATCTGTGCTTGATGCTGGATAAAGCTACAAGATGGGCTGAATCTATTGGCCCAGTAGATATGCAAAAGCTGACAGTGGTGGAGACTCCTAACATACATCTATATACATATGTTTTATAACATACTGTAAGATATATAGAATTATACTGTATTGGGTTCGCAATCTCGGGGCTGAGCCAAACTGCATCAAACGGGTACTGTATCAACTCAATCAGCTTGCTGATGGCCAGGCATCTGCAGATTGGGCACCTTTGGCAGTGTCGCTCTCATCACGTGCACTACAGGACAAATACTGCCTTTCTGGACTTTGCATGTTACTTCCCAGAAACGACCCAGAAGACGTGCAGCAAGCACAGAGCACGCCTAGTCAACGTGATCGAAAAATGCAAACAAACGCCTCTATAGTGCATAGTGGCATGGTTCTTTTTTTGCTCCAGATAGGACGCTCGTGCTGGTGAACTGCCTCGGGATTTGTTGCGGACGCGTTTGGAGAGGTAGATTACCTCAGCATGTTGCTGCGGCAAAGAAGATTGATGCATTCAGTGCTTTTTTTGGGGGGGGACGGGAAGCTGTGAAGAGCTAGCAGAGGTAGGGTATGGTAGAGCAAGCAAGAGAGAAGAAGCTACTACATGCAAGGACGCAAGAAGGGCAGGAGATTCTTCCTTGAAGTGCCCTCGCATGTTTGAAACGGTTCCTAGATGAATGGATGAAATTATACAGTCATTGATTTTTCCGGTGGCTGTGTTTGAGGTGCCCTGACCCTGACGTCAGAGCAGCGTGGTTACAGGCACCGGAGAAGCTGAAGCTATTTGAATCTACTTGAAGAAGCGAGATTCAGTGGTCAGGTCAAAGTAACATCTGTAGACACAGGATGACACATGCATGTTGAAATGCGGCCAAATGTGTTGTGTCTATGTTGTTTACAAGCATGTCATTTTGATGGTGAGGTGCTCGAAGTTCTCGGTCCAGAAACTGAGAGAGGCAGGTGAAGAGAGGATCTGCCAGTAGTCAAAATAGCTACAGATCTGAAGCTTTCTCCTCAGTTTCCAGTCATGTTGTGGAGGGTTAAATCAGTTTGCGCTCAATGTGACTCAAACCAGCCTTTCCTTCGTAGAAAGTTGGAAGTACTCGACCCATGAATGAAAGAAAGATGGTATCTCAAAATCGCAGGTTGTTTGACAGCTCCGGAGCCGTGGCAGCTTGATTTGCATCCCAAGGCACGCAAAGCCAAAAGTTACTATTTTGCATGGAGGTTTTTGTCTTTAGTCTCATGACTCCGCGCAGTGAATTCAATCTTTGCTGCCCATTTGCTGCATCACTCTAGCCGGCTAGTAATACAGCGGCCTTTGTTGTTCGACCACCATGCAATTGCTTTGAGTTTGTGTGGTTGTTTACTGTGCAGTTGGTGGTTATAGAAAAGATTTCTTGAGATTTTTGGATATCTGAAGTGGCTACAGGTTTTCATTTCGTATTGCTTGAAACGATTCTCGTGAGAGGCTGAGGTCTCCGAGGAGACGATGCCCATGTCCCAAGTCTAGCTCCGTTTCCGCCACTTCGACTGGGCGTTGCATTCGGTCCATTGAAATGCTGCATCAAAGGTCTCCTGTTTTTGCCACCAGGGTCTTCCATTCAGTTCCCTTGTTGGGTTTAGTCTGTGATTAGACCGGAAAGTGTTCGAAGCCGACTAGTTGCCAAAGATGTGAGAGTTTGGTAGAGAAATGGAGGTCGAAAGTCTGGCAACGTTTGCGCATTTGGACTTCAATGTGCGCTGTTTGGAGGAGGTCGCGCTTTTTTTGGCAAAGCCATCCAGTCCACCAACCTTCCTGCCATCGCCAGATGTCATACACAAGGTGTTCAGGGCCGAGAGCGTGCAGCAAAAAACACATATTGATTTTGTAAGAAAAACAATTGGAAGACATGCCTGCGAGGGCAGAGGACAGCAAAAACTTTCTGGATAAGCCCTCGCAGGATCAGAACATTTCCTTGATTTGGGGAAACTACGACGCCTTTGCTGCCAGTACTTACTCCACTGACATTGAAAAGTTGTGCCGCCCAACATATTCATGCAGGCAGAAAAGAGTGCTGTCCCAAATGGAGGCAGGGCAGTTTGTTGAGGGCATTGCTTTGATGGGCCTTGGGCAGACGCTGGGAGTTGCCACAGAAATGTCGAAGTGAAGGAAGTTGTCAGGTTGGTAGCTTTGTGAAACAAGGATTACAGCAGCTCCAAGTACGGCCGACCTTTTTTGATGAGGCACGCTGCGAATAGACCTCTATGCCAATCCTTCTGCGAAGGCAGCACAGGCGATGGCGATGGCCCTGGAGGGAACAGCCAATTTGACTTTAAAGAGTAATTAGAAGGAAGAGATCCCAAGTCAGACTGAGACACTTCAACCAAAGTTTCCCTACAGTAAATTAAGTGCCCCTAAAATTCTAGGAACCAAATCATTAGTGCGAGCGCTTATCGCTTCTTCAAGGAAGCGTGAGCAATCCTGCGTCCAGTAGGTAGTAGCTAATTTAGCCTAGCAGCGAACTAGTTTCGCCCTTACTTAATTAAGTAGGAGCGGCTTTAAAAAGAGTAGAGTAGAAACCCAACAATCTGGGTCAGACTTAGATACTTCAACCAAAGTACCTTGTTCGTTTGTCAAGTTTTAATGGGACTATTGCCAGCCCTGATAGCGAGATGAGGTCAAAACTAGCAACGCTGAAAAGAAATATACAATCGAGGGCCATGTTCAGCTTGGGATGAGAAGTGGTAGGTTATGGCTAAAGGAGTCCTGGATCCTAGCCACAGTTAAGCAGACAGACAAACAGAGAATATGATGTTTGGCCCAAGCACTAGCACAACCACAAAAGACTGGGCTTGTCACTTGGATCAATTTGAAATGCGGCCAAGCACAAAATCTACTTATATTACTTATAAGGTATATAATATAATATCGTGTTTGTTTGGCTGGGGACCGGGGACTGATGTGGCACCACTCATTTCTTCTTGACATGCTAACATACCCTAAGATTGCAGTCAAGTCAGCGATTGCCTCGACTAGCACATGTGACCACTTGCTTGCTTGTGACTGCTTCCCCGCACCGGCTTCTTGCACTTGTGACACTCATCAGAATGCTTTCCTTTTATGTTGTTCGTTGCGAGAATAGATAGGCGGATTTATAATGAGTTATACAGATGCTGCCACATGACAATACAAATATTAAGCGTGCAGTGCATCACATACCTTGCACCTAGCGCAGGATGCAGTGGTGGCAGCCCTGCCGCCCAGTCGCCGCTGCGAGGCATTACTGAGTGCTGCCAAAGCGGAGGCGCATAGCCGCATAGCTCATTGCACCTGGCACATACCAATACATACCAGATAACATAGCTTTGTCACAGCCTTTCTCAAGCGCACCAAGGACGCATCAGTGTCACAAGAGTTTGAAGCATGAGTTGCAGCTTTGGCAGATCAAGGCATTGCAGTCTTTACAACACTTGGCTTCGCTTTGCTTCGTAGGCAATGCACGAAACGTTGCCACTGGTACTAGCAGCGTGGCACGAGGCACCAGAGTCTTGCTCTGCGCCTTGGTGAGAAAGAGGGCCAGTCTCACAGAGCGGGTGCAAACGCTTTCATTCTCGCCAGACCCAATCTTATTTTTGGCCCGCTCCTACTTGAAGTAGTAAGGGCGAAACTAGTTCGCTCCTAGGAACAGCACCCAGGATAGCTCATGCTACTTCAAGGAGGCTCCCCCGCCCTCCAAGGCGGGGGGAGCTTCCTGAAGAAGCGCTCCCACTAATGATTGGATTCCTAGATGTTCAGGGAAACTTAACTTGTTTGCTTCGTGATGTCCCAAACGGTGGACTAAGTCAATCAGCCCCAGCAATTGTCTAAACATTCCGTTTTACTCTGACCTGAGGTAGTTCTGCTGCGCCGGACACCGGAACAACAAGCAAGCTGGCCAATTCCAGTGCGGAATCTTAGAACATGCCGGTACGAGTTTGTGAGGACCCTGTTGGCATTCATATTAAACATAATATGTTCCTAGTAGCTTCTCCTTCCTAGCAGTACGGCCAGAACCCCTAGTAGCGTCCTTGCTCCTAGTAGCGATGCCAGGAGCCCCTAGTAGCTTCTTGTTGATTGCTTTCTTTTGTAATTGTGTCCTTTAGGGCATCTTTAGACTCTAGACTTTACTTTTGTCCAAAGGCAACCAGCACTTGCAGGTCTTGGCACCGGTGTTAGTAGCCTTGGTGCGGAGCGATGCAGCAGGTGCATTTGCCCGTTGATGCGCACTGTGGACCGTTTGGCTTAGATATACAGTATGTTGTTTAGCATAGTTTTGATGCGTTTTCTTCGCTTGTTCAATATCTTTCAATATGGTGCACAAAATACCAGCTCTCAACAATTGCTTTTCATTGAAAAGGAATGTCAAGGTGTTTTCCATGGGCTAAGTACAAGTAGTCACCACACTGGAAACAATGAATGCCACACACCAAACACTTCGTCGATTGATAGTAGCATGGATGCAGCTCTTTAAGAACCTGTTGAAGGCTGGCGCGCGTGGAAAGACGGACCCTTTGACCGCGGCTTGCTGGCAGCCACATGGGCCTGACATCCTAGCTTCGCACGCTCAGGCATGTCACTCACTGAATTCAATATATTTCCATGGGTGTTCAGGCTGGCCTTTGCCGTGAAGATGCTCCAGCATCTGCCAGTCATGCCACCACCTTTGGAACCTTGTGTTGTTCGGCTTGCCATGTGACTTTGATCGACTTGGACAAATGGAAAATAGTAATTCAATACTTTTCGTTGTAGCGGTGGCCTCCACCTAGTGGCGATGGCCTCCACCTAGCAGCTTCCTAATAAATAAGTCAATGTTTCTCGTTGCACCACTTTGCCTCCTCAGCTTTTCTGCCAATCGATTCGCAATGAAGTTCAGCCAGGATTTATTTTCTGGGTGCTCAGCGAAGTGGTCATTCCAAACCTCAGCTCTAACACAACCAGGCTGGGGGGTTGACATGCGCAATGCTTTGGGGAGTATTAGCCCATGCCATAACGCTTTAATCTTTAGGGTTATTGCAACATAGCACAGTAAATTTGTTTGCTTGCTTGGCTCGATGTGAAGTGCCGTAGTTCCACGACGCATCCCGATGTCATTTATATCAATCTGCTTCTTGCACTGTGAGAGCAACTTGGATCCTGTACCAACCAAAATGACATTCTCGTGTGTGGGTACCGACCAAAATGATTTCGCGAGCTCTTTTAGTCGCAACACTCATGGAGGGTTAAGGAACACTGCTACAGCTGAACGAACAAGTCTTGCACCACCACAGATGGATAAACTCCAAGTATTTACGATGTGTTGGGGTGGCTTCTTCATTTAAAAAAGTAGCAGGCATTTTGGGGAGCAGGTCCTCAATGGATGACCGATACCCCTTTAGACTCTTGAAAACTTCAAGTCGATGGGAATCCATGGTGGTTTTGGTAGCACATCTGGTGGAGGACATCGAGGACATCCTTTGAGGATCTTAGTTCCCCAAAGTTCTAAAGCAACAAAGCAAAGCTATAAAGCTTGCAGTGCCCTTCATGTGTCCCCAAGGCTTGGATGCAGAATGCTGCTATCCCCAGAATTGGATTGTTGCCTGCAAACTGTCCTGCTGAATGAACAACTCCTAGTGCTTCTTGATGCAGTGTGCGGTTGCACAATAACTAAATTCCGACAACATGCCAGCCCTTATGTCCCATGAGTTTGGAATGATTGGCATTTTTGAATGTGATGCTTGCAGGGTTTTCAATGTGGCATAAGCTGCATAACGGCTTACCTAACATTAAAGCATAGGCAACGCATGGCGATGCCTATTTCCATTTACAGCAAGGATGTTGGACAAAAATGAAATACAGGTTTTTGTCTCACAGAAGAGAATAGTTCGGTGAAACATTAAGGACATTTGATGTTACTTTGTCGGAGTTCATCGGAAACCAAGAAGTAAGGGTTGATCCTGGAGATTGAGACATATGGAAGCCATGAAACAAGGCTTGAGACCGTAATATGCGGGTTGAGACCATTAAGTAAGGGTTGGTAGTTGGTACCGTAGTAGCTTCTTGCTCCTAGTAACTTCCTAGTAGCGATGGCCTCCACCTAGTAGCAATGGCCTCCACCTAGTAGCGATGGCCTCCACCCAGCAGCTTCTTGCTACTAATGAAGTGTTATGAGCAGGTTGCAAAATGTCGTTCCGCTAGCAACTTCTTGTCAACGCCCCACCTAATCAGCTGTTTGATGAGGTGGGCAGACAATCAGCCACGTTGCTTGCTACTTCCTCATGTTTGTTTCCCTTCAATGGCACTTACTTATGAAAAAGTTGGTGCCTCATCTTTGCCCCGGGGGCCATGGATTCGGAAAATCAATTTGGACAAGACTTATCCAGCGTGCAAGCATCTCGGCCCCATTGTTTTCGATGGCCTATTCTATGTTTTTTTGTTGAGCAGTTCTTCTTTGTGGTGAACAACTGGGTGCGCCTTGCACGACTGCAGAAAGAAGTGTGCAGTAGTTCTTGTGTTTGCTCACACAATGGCAACCAACCATTAGAACCCTGCACGTTACAAGCCCAATGCGTAGCGCAGGAAACCCAGACTAGACGAACGCGAGCAAAAATTGAGCAAGATTCTGCTATCCAACCCTGATTCTGATGTATATCGGAGACACGCTGCTGGTGTCAATTCTTGTAATTCTTGAGCGATTTTCCTGGGCTCCCCTCTCCAGTTCATTGGTTCTGTCCACGCCTCATCCACTTCATCCTGGCATTTTGTACTCATTCACAAATTGAGCATTTCCCAGATTCCAGGTGAGTTTTGTCCACTTTGGTTCACTGGCCAAACACAACAAGATGTGTAGGGGGTTCTAAACCCAATTTGTCAATAAGGAATGCTCCCAACAGTTTCAACACAGCTGCTCACAGCCAAGGGCATCCGTAGGGTCCGTAGGGAGAGGCATCCTGGTCAAGAGTCAGCAGGGCATTAATTAGTTGGTGGTCACAACACAGATGATGAAACTAACAACATCCTGACAATGCCGCCGCTACTCAAGAAATAGAATATAACAAAATACTTTGTATGTGTTGTACTTTCGAGGGTCCAGCTTGTGGATACTGTTGGGTTTTGTTTCGCAAATGTCCCCGCACCAAACAACTGCATGAGAGTCTCTAGTACGTTTCAGGTCAAAATCTAGCAGCAATAGTAGAAGTAGCGATAGTGATAGTGATAGTGGTTCAAACTTCAAACAAAAACACGTTTAAATTAAAGCAATGCAGAAATTAATAATGAGTCTGGCAGATTCCTTTACTATTACAACCTTGATTCTTCGTACTTCCCGGCCACTTGACTTAATTTGGGATTCAACGCGAAGCCTGGTAGCACAGGCGATTCGCCGCGGAGACTGCCGGCCTTCTGGCCGACACCTTGAAAGCAGACCTGTTTGTAAGGAAGCTCAGACAGCAAGCAACCCAATAGCAATGATCTCCAACCTAATAGGAATGGCCTCCAACATACTAGTGATCGTCTCCAACCTACTAGCGATGGCCTCCAACCTACTAGCGAAGGCCTCCAATCTAATAGCAATGGCCTCCAACCTACTAGCGATGCTTGTCATTTTCGATGTTTATGTTTGTGACAACTCGCAACAATACGTGTGAGGCTCGAAGGGCAGAGATGCAGCGTGCTGAAGTCCTCCAGGATCTTTAGATTCAATAAAACAAAGTGAAAATATCAATATTCAACGTCAACGAGCATCAGGCAAACCAAGCAAGGATCTATTGTCAAGAAGAGAACGAGAACGTTTTTTGGAAGAGGAGGTTGGAAGCAAAAGCAGAATTCCAAGATTGGCAAGGCATTGGTAAGAGTAAGGTGCCAGGTGTGGCGTAAGCCATCAGGGATCATCAGGAGTATCTTCAGGGATCTTCAGAGTGTCTTTGGACCAAAAAGGACATTTGTGAACGTTGTGGAACTCCATTGGCGGATGTTGCGGTTGATCAATATATATAACTATTCTATATTTACCAGGAAACTTCTCGAGAAGGAAAAGGGGGAAAAGGGTGGAAAGAAATGAGAACCTCAGGAAATGGAGTAGCTAGCACGTCCTCTGACTACCTGTGCTTTTGACACTCTTGCAGTCTTGCAAGCGAAACTAAACCAAAGAAGGAAAACAATCATTGTAGCGCAAGGAGGGGCTTCTACCCTCTGGTGCAGTCCGGGGCACATGGACGGAGGATTGGAGAACGGAGTCAGAGTCGGTTCGAGTGCTTGTGGAGACGTTTTCGCCTCCTATCCAAGATTTGGCAAGTGCAGGATGCACAAGCATTAAGCAACCGCCATTTCATGAACCGAGGCTACACGGCTGCAATCCTTGCAGCAGGTGCCACTGGCTCCGTGGCGGCCTTACTCAGAAAAACTCTTGAGATGTGCATTGGAGACTGCATTGCAGCTACAAGATCCTGTATTTTTTTGTTTGGAATCGGAGCGATCATGAAAGTTTTGAACAATCAAGCAATAGTTTGGGCAGTGGTTTGAAACATTGATATTGTGTGCACCCTGCATGCAATTTAAAGATCTATTGTGATGTGATGTGACGCAATGTGATGTAATGTAATGTATAGGGACGGCTTACACTTCCGGTAGACCCGGTAGACGAGATTTGTTCGAGTTTGATTGGACCAAACCTTGGCATCCAGGCTGGTGCTTTCACTAGCAGAAGCCCTGTCAGACCAAAGTGCAGAGGACCAGCAGAAGAGAAACTTCAACTACTCAAGCCTGAAGTCACGCAGCATCAAAGCCCTCGAAATCAGGATGCGTTGGTGAGTTGGTTGAATGTTGCCACCGGGATAAAAGATCTTCCACCACAAGAGGCAAGATCAGATTGAAGACCTTGCAGTTGCAGATTGTGTCACGTCTCGGTCAGATTCTTTTGCAGGTCAGCACTATGCAGAGATGTGTTGACTTACACTTGGTCGCAGGCTTAGACTTGTAGGGCTGCAACACAGGTCTTCACAACTTGATTGTTTGAGTCTAGGTTTGGGATGATGGTGAACCTGATTCCTGTCATCTACAAAATATGTGCCAAATATATAAAGGCCTTTGACATCATTTGACAGTAACAGGCACACAGGATAAATGGCCAAAGGCCAAAGGCCTGAGGCTTTCAGTTACACTGCAATTTCGTTCAAGCAAGTGCTGCCCTCCTATGGCTACACTATTCCATTCCAGGCCAGAATTTCAGTTGCCAAAGAAAGCGCCACTGGCTATGCAAAGCTCTCAGAGTTCAAAGTAGAATGAAATGCCGAAAGAAATAAAAATAAAAGAAAGGTCTAAACGTCTAAGGAAAGGGATGAGAATGAATAGAAAAGAATAGAACACGAGAGCAAATAACGTCATACGCTTCGCTTTTAGCAAAGATGGTAATTGCCGCTGAGGCAGGCCAGCTACTGCGAGCGCTCATGGGAGCAGACGGAGGCCCCAGCTTTTCAATTTGAATCCAACATGTTGACTTTGCACAAAGACGGGAGAAGTCAGTAAATGTATATATTTACTGTAAAATGCATCATAGTGTGCCTTTGATGGTGGCTTAAGCCAAAGAGGGAGAATGATGGTTCACAGTAATTATATGTCAGTCTGAGCCAGATCATCTTGTCCAAGCACTGGCAGCATGCGTGAATCCACAGCAGCGTGCGGCTAGAGGCCTGCCAGACCATCAAGCAAACAGCTCTTGCTTGATCCATTGACTTGTTGCTGTTCAGAGCAAATCAGAGCGCAGTAACGAAAGTGTTTCAATTACAAACCAACGATGTGACATGCATTAGTGTATGTATGTGCATTTGAGGACCAATGTTTGCTAATTGTTTTGCTGTTACTTGTGAAGATTGAGCCAGATGCTGGTCGGTAAGTTTACAAAAGCCAAGCATATGTTGTACAACAAGGTTTCAGTCACTTTGAACCTTGAAAATAGGACCTAGGAGTTAGGAGTGTACAATTGTTTTTTCACACACGGTGGTGGGAACAATGATTCTTCTTGTAGGGCCAGAGTTTAGACCATGTCAAGAAGGTGGCTCTGGTGGGTGTTTGCGTTTAGTAAACTCTGAGGATGGGTGATTAATTTGGGCCAGACCACTTCACTGGCAATGCAGGAGGATAAAATCCACTCTCCAAGACCAACACTCCCAACGACTCCCAAGCTCGTCCCGGAAAGCTCCAATCACAACACGTTCATCCCGCTTGACTCTCTCACCCCGGTACAAAAAAGTGCAACGAAAAAAACCCGATACAAAGTCGAAGCTTTGACCCGGAGGTTTCAATGGTGAGTTGCAAACTGTCCGCACTTCAGGCACCCAGATCAAAGTTTGGTCGGATGCGGTGAAATCTTTACAGACCCACAAACGATTTGACCACTTGCTTTCCCATTGACGATTGTTTGGTTGCCATCAATGCCTGTGCTGTGTTGGCTAGGTTGTTGAGTTGTTCGTACCCTTCTGCCCGCAATCCCATGAGTTCGCAGTTGATCAAGCGAGTGCTGTGTTGCTCCGAAATGTGGGTAAAATAGGGGTAGTGTGAAGCATGTACATAGGTGTCGAACTGCGAATGAAGCAAATTGAAGTGTGAAAGCACTCGCAGAGTCGCAAAGTACCTTGTAATTGTAGTAGTGCTTAAGTTACAACCATGGTTCGTGCTTTATTAATCAGTGCGCATTCGAGTGGAATCGGAAAGAAGGCGTTGGCAAGGTTGTGGAGAAGAAGGAGGATTTTAAGTTAGTTAGGTTATATAAGTGTCCCAGAAAAAAGTCTTAGGAACCAAATCAATAAAAGGCCTGAGCCCTTTGCGCCTGATCGGTAGTAGATACGTAGCTACTTATTCTGAGTAGCTTACCTACTCAACCAACTAGCTACTTGTTAGCCCGTACGACGGAAGCCCTCCGGCCTTAAAAGGGAGGAAACAAAGAAGAAGGATGAAGAAGGTCAAAGTTGCTTGACTAGTTTTTGTGGAATCAACTTGGTCCAGGCCCTGTGGACCTGTGGCTGCTTTTGTCAGCAGCACTCCACTGGCCATCAAGACGGCCGTCGGCTCGGATTTGGCTTTGCGAGATCCATTCACAAAGGTAAAAACATTGGAGAGTTCCATACTCCACTCTAGATTCATAGACCCCTACCTGCTTAAACTGCGTGGTTAGTCGGCATGGTTTGGGTCATTTAGACTGCTAAAAAATTGTCCTTATTGAGTCTTTAGCCTGTGCATTCTGCTTGTTGCAGCCCATACATGCAGATTATCAGCATCAAGAACCGAGGCTCTCTGATTTGGTCCTCAAGGTCCTGCCAGAGATCTTTTCAGATCTCACAGTGCGCAGGTCGCTGGTGTTCCGCTTTCTTCGGATTGAGCCCGATGACCGTGATTCGGATCTTTTTGGAGGATTGTGTTGACTGTGTCAGCTGAGTGAGGTACTGACCCCCAACAGTTCTGTGAAGGGGTATCGTGGCAGTCTCAGTTTGTTTTTCTGTTTTCTGTCCAGAACAACAAAAAGCATGCGCCCACGGATTTGATGGTGTTGGCACACATGCGTTTGGATGCCAAAAGTTGGTGGTAAGGAGAAAATGCAACATTACTTTAGTGATGGTATGTTTCCAAAGCAACTTATGGAGCAGCACGCAGGAGAATCCCCCAAAACACCAGCTAGGCGCTAGCATGGCGCTTGTGTGCTAGTTTTTTCCCCCAGAAAGTGACAGCGATCGGGGCTCCTACTTGAAGTTTTGGAAGAGGTGCCTGTGTGCGCTTTGGTACTGGTGCTTTTGCAGGGTGCTGCTGTAGGGTGCTGCGTCAACGCTGAATACAGGGACAAAGCACCAGGGTGCTGCCTAAAAGTATCTTTTGCTATTTGGTGTATATGCTGGCGCATTTGAAGCCAGAGCCAGCTTCCGCGCAAGAACCGGCTTCGAGGTTTGGATTGCAGTGGCAGATTCGTGGACTTCGGTGTGCGAGTACCCGTCCCATCCTTATCCATGGGTCAATCTAATCGAAGCAGTTGGCTCATGTTGGTACTGCGATGCTTTTCTTTACAGACTTGTCAATCGCCACTCTGAAAAGTATGTGTGCGTTGCAAGCAATGCGTGCAGGTCCTGCGATGCGTACACTGTCTATATTGTTGCATCTTGCTTGCAAAGCATTCGAAGCAGTCCAACGCTCCAGTAGTTGCAGTTAGGCCCAGTTAGGCACTTGCAAGGGAGAAACCAGACTCATGCAGCCTGCAATTGCTTTGCTAGGCGTGCTTGCTGAATCATTGCAGAGTCCTTCAGAGGCAATTTTGCAGTTTCAGGATGATTTCACAGTTTCGACTCGCCTAATCCCACGTCTTCTCTCAGAACACTGATGTTGGGCAGGCAGCCAACTTCTTGAGATCTGCATGCGAGGCTCAATCATACTGTCAATAGAATCTAATATTTAATAGACCGCAAGTTGAGCCCTCTCCACCTCTTGCTCATAGCTGCTCAGTGTGAGCAGCGACGGTGAAAAGGGGAGGTTTCCCACAAGTGAGAGAAACGTAACGACACTGAGAGGTGACTCGGAATGGTGTTGCAACTTTGAAGGTTGCAGCTTGGTTTGATAGAGTTCTTTCACGTCTGAGATGTCTTTGCTTGCCTTCTTGCAGGCTGAGTTTGTTTATGTTGCTTCCAAAGAAATCCTTGCAATATCTGAGGGTTGCCTTCAGCATTTGAGTACACACTTTGCGGCCTTCCTGTGCGGAGCTTTGTCTTTGGCTGACCGTGTTCAGAAGGTCGGCCCACACGTTTGTCTCACAGCATTGTTTTGCACGACAAGACATGCATTCAGGTTATATATATATACACTTTTCTATCGTTCCTCTTCTTGTACATATATGCATAGGTTGGAGGCCATTGCTATTAGGTTGGAGGCCACCGCTATCAGGTTGGAGGCCATCACTATTAGGTTGGATGCAGGGCTGCGTGCTAAACGAATGTCTAGTTCCAGGCCAACGTATGTGTGCCAGCACAGTTTAATTTACACTTAAAAGCCAGGTGGGTGCAAAGTACAGTATAGGACAAGGCTCAATTGGTTCAGTTATAGTACGCACGTCTATTATAGAAGAAATTGATTGTGCCAATCTTCTGTTTGAAGGGATGGAAATTTGCCGCCTGGAGGGTTTCAAATAGAAGAGGGCCAGGTGGAAAAAAGTCCTGGGCACAACGTTGGTGAACACCGAGAGAGGCCCCCGAGCCAGAGGCAAAGAAGAGGAAGAGAAGGGAAGGGAAAGGAGAAAGGGTAGGGAAAGGGGGAAGGAGGAAGGCAGGGGGAAAGAGGCAGAAGGGAAGGGAGAATCTGAGAAGGGGGAAGAGGTAAGGAGGTAAAGGAAAGGAAGGTAAAGGTAAAGAGAAGGTAGAAGGAAGGAAAGGTGGAAAGGGAACGAGAAGGGGAAGGGGAAGGGGAAGGAGGCAGAAGGGAAGGCAAAGCAGAAGGCAGAAGAGAAGCTAGGGGGTTTACCTAGCTGCCGGAACAATACTTGAGCAGCCGCGGAAAATGACCGCGGGTGTATTTATGTTGCTTTTCTCTTCTTCTCCAGGGAGGGAGAGAGAGCCAGGGAAAGAGAGGGGTGGGCCAAAAAATATACTGTATATACTTTATTCTAGTTGAAGACCTGTTGGTGAGCACGTTTATCAACCCCTTGTCCTGACCTATATATTTCTTCTATTTGTCCCGGAACCCTGCTACGGGAGGAATATGCAGCCTTCTATTTGAACATATCCCATGCTATATATTATGTACATTAAATACAGTATCATTAAATTAACTGTCCGTTCAGTCAGCACTTCTCTAACAACAGCACCTAGCACCTCCAAGCAAGACACCTCCCAAACCCATCACTTGGCCAGCTCTACAGACTCGTGCATGCTGATCACCTAACTGATAGGCGTCACTTCGCTAGCTCAATACAGCTTGTAGGCCGGCGATAGTTCAGCTAACTCTCAGCTGACTCACCATTTGGCCATCTCAATGTTTTGCTAGCTACGTTAGTAGCTTCCTCCCAGCTAACTCTCCATGTGGCAAGGTCAAAACTTAGCTAGCTCACAGGTGCAACAAACCTAATGCAGAGCTATTTCAACACTTGTTTAGCTCACGATTCCTTAGCTCAAGAGAGGGCTGACTCACGACGCAGCTACCTCAACATCCAGCTAGCTCGAGACCCTGCTGCCTCACCACGCCAACTCAGCCAGCTCAATACTGTTTGCTAAGTCACAAAGTAGCGAACTCATTTGTCAGCTAGCATCAGCTACTTGACCATTTAACAGCATATGGAATTGTATTTTTTTTGGCGTGTACTTCCTGATGTAGTGGTTGGAAGTTCGACTTGAGCGATTCATACCCTCGGATCATACCTCGAATCATACCCCCGAATCATACCCCTCAAAACGTTACACGTAAGAACCAGGTGTTAAGGTAAAGTTTTTGATTGGTCTTTGTGCCTTGTAGATGTCCATGAGCCAATGGTGCATGACACTTGCAATTGTGTGATCCATGGGCACTCAATTTGGCCAAAATTGTTTGTGTCTTCTTGTGGGAAGAGCAAAGGCTCACATCCCAGGGGTACGAGCCAAAGGACCGCCTTCTTTTGCAGAATCTAATGGCCATACGAATCACACCCGATTCATGCCCGATTCATACCCGAATCACGCACCTCCACACAGTCTCCCACCCATCCCACATCCTGGTTGTTTTGGTGGGGCCTGCAGAGGGCCACTGGAGTCTTTGGTGGAAGAGTGCATTTGCCTAATCTGCCCAGCATCCAACAGATGCTGCTTGCCTACTGCCTCGGCGCAGAGTGGGCCCACTGCTGGAAGTCCAGCTAATCCAACAATATAACTTCAAAGCTGCGAATCATACCCTCGAATCATACCCCCGAATCATACCCCGAATCATACCACCTATTCAAACTTCCCGGCCCGACTACGGTAAAAAAATACACACCCATATTCTGCTAGCTCATTGCAGGAAAAGCTTGCTTTGGGAAAAGAAACGTTGTTGTTTAGGGTTTCCTGGCAGCTTTGTATATAAGTACAAGATAATACAAGTAAATAAACAAGTCACACTGCACCAAAGGCTAAACTGATATTGATGATTAAATCAAATATAACTTCCCAAGCAATTGAGGATGCTTGAAATGCAGGACTATGCACATATGCTCAAAGTCTCAGGACTGCCTTCTTGGACATGGCACCACAAAACTCTCCGGGGTTGAGAGCGGCGCTTCTTCTGGTACAGTCGATGCGCAGGACCCAAACCATAACGATGTTTCACTTGTCAGACGATTGTTTGAAGGATGTTGAAAGCGCACTGGGTTGAAGCGAAAGGGAACCAGTGTTTTCATTGCTTCCATGGACTAATTAGCGTTGAGGAAGCTTGGTCCAAAAGCACCAGACGCCTAGCTGCACTTGGACAATTTCAGAGGTGTTGACAAACACAGTCTTTCTTTACTGGGAAGTAGGTGCTGGTACCGAGAAGTCTAAGGAACGCTTGGCTCTCATGGACGATCGGCTCAAGTCCATTTGCGCATAGATCCTGTGCAAGTTGCAAAGTGAACCCAAAGGGCATCAATCAGATCGAGAAGCATGCTTGCCGGTGGCTACGAGAACAACTGGTTGCGATTCATGAAGATCGCGGATTGCCAGGATATTTCTTTGAGGTTCCCACATCGACGGCAACTGCAGTCTGAGCATGTCTGAGAACGGTTGCGATCAATCTAGGACTAGGGAAGGTTCATCACAACGAGAATGAGCTTGAATGTTCATTCCATGTCATTTCTTAACAGTGCCCAGCAAAACAAGGTCAAAAAGCGTTTCTTGCCGTGGAGTGCAAAATCCCTTCAAAATTAGGCTAAGTAATTACAGTAATTACTTGGATTTACTGATATAATTATGTGGAAAAGGAAAAGACATAGACAGGCATGAAATATTTCACAGGATAACAGTCAGTCACGCAGAACGCAGCCTGCAATGAATATGCCGCTCCTTCAAGCAAGCTGTAGGGTAGTTGACTATACAGCCTTTGCTTCCACACCTCAGCAGCAAGATGTCGATCTACAACTGGGCAAAGTACGACCCCAAGTACTACCTGAATGGAGCGTTGTGCGGAGGGATTTGCTGCTCCATCACCCACGGTGCTTTGTGCCCTGTGGATGTGGTGAAGACTCGTATCCAACTTGACCCCATCAAGTACCAGGGTGGATTGTTGAGTGTCGGAAGGCAAGTCGTCGCTGAAGAAGGTGCCTCAGTGCTCGCTACAGGTCTGGGACCAACAGCGGCTGGTTACTTCGTGCAGGGATGGTTCAAGTTTGGAGGCAACGAGTTTTTCAAGATCCAGTTTTGCCAGTCTTTGGGTGACCAAAAGGCGTGGGACAGAAAGGCTTTCATCATGCTTGGAGCATCTGCCTGTGCTGAGTTCATTGCAGATATCTTCCTGTGCCCTTTGGAAGCTGCTCGCATTCGTCAAGTGTCTGACCCCACATTCCCCAAGGGCACGTTCACTGCAATGAAGGAGTTGATGGCCAGGGAGGGAATCATGGGTTGGTATGCGGGTCTTGTGCCCATTCTCTTCAAGCAGATCCCTTACACCATGGCCAAGTTTGCAGTTCAAGGTAACACTGAGATTGCCATTTACGCCAGCTTGCCGACCAAGAGAGAGAACTTGAGCCATGCTTCCAAGATGGGCGTGTCTGTTACTTCCGGCTTCATTGCGGGGGTGGCAGCTGCGATCATTTCACATCCTGCCGATTCTCTCCTTTCCAAGATCAACAAGAAGGGGGCAGGCGGTGACGGTGGCATGGTTTCTCGCTTGTGGAACATCGCCAAAGAGACTGGTTTCGCGAAGCTTTGCACCACAGGTCTTGGACCAAGGTGCATCATGATCGGCACCCTGACAGCGGGCCAGTTCTTGATTTTCGACACGTTGATGCCCATTATGGGAGTTGAGAAATTCCACTTCCACGACCCATCAAAGCCTCACTGAGCATTCTACGAGAGACTGAGAGACGCGTTTTGTCCCGTTGACCACTCAGCCGACGGTCAGATAAACTCTCAATGAAACTCTCAATGGAGATCATTGATTGAAAAAAGATTGACAGAAAAAATAAGATATGGAAGACGTCAATGTGGTCAAGAGCATCGAAACGGCTGGAATGGGTTTGGATGCTGAGGAGTTGAAGACAGCAAAGTATGCACAGGTGAGCAACGTCATAAACCTCTATGAAAGAATTTAGGTAGGACTTAAGATTATGAATCTGTGCGAAAGGAAAACTGCAGTTGGGGAAAGCTTGGCGAAAGGTTTGGAGAAAGGCTCTGATTTTTTGATGAATGGATTTTGTTGCGAAAGGGTTGGCGAAGAGGTTTTCAGTACAAAGCATGTCATCCAAAGATTCCTGATAACCAGGCGAAAGGTTGGCGAAAGGTTCGCGAAGATGTGGCGAAAGCAGTGGTTGCAGATTAGGAATGATTCCCCTTTGCTGATACTTTTCTTAGATGTAAGTAGCAGAAACTCGGCGAAAGGGTTAGCTAAAGAGGTTGTCGGGTGAAGTGGGTCGGCGAAAGCAAAACATGCAGCCGCGAAAGCGTTGCGAAGGGATTGGCGAAAGGTTGTTATAATCTTAATAAAAGTTCCGGATGGTTTTTGACACCGCTCAGGTGATTTGACAGAGTTTGTCCCTAGATTATGTAAAATCATTCATTGTTGGGTCGAGGGTGTTCGTTATGTTTAACATATAGATGTCTGATTTTTGTTGTGAGAAGTACATTATTTTAACATGTTATATTCCTGCAATACTACGTTAGGCCTGGCGCATCATGATTCCGCACTTTCAAACATGATGTCGTTCAAAATGTTCGACAAATCGGATAGTGATTGACATATTTTGGACATATTGGTACCACGAAATCTGCACTTCAAGGTCCACAAAGTACCGTACCTGCCACGAAACTTGCACTTTAAGGTCCGCAAAGTATTGCACGTACCACGAAATCTGCACTTTAAGGTCCACAAAGTATTGCGCCTGCCACAAAATTTGCACTTCAAGGTCCTCGAAGTATTGCGCCTGCCACAAAATCTGCACTTTGAGGTCTACAAAGTGCTGCGCCTGCCACAAAATTTGCACTTCAAGGCCCACAAAGTACTGTACTTCCTACGAAATCTGCATTTCAAGGTCCACCAAGTACGTAGTGCGCCTGCCACAAAATTTGCACTTCAAAGACCGCATCGTATTGCGGCTGCCACGAAATCTGCACTTTAAGGTGTGAAGTATTGCTCTAAACATCTCTAAACGAAAAACAAAAACCAAACAAAGAAACAAAAAGCTTCCAAAAATATATTCGCAGCCGTTGTCGGCAGTTAGCTCTTGCGAAACACACACTATAGACCTCAGTGGGATCCGGTTGCGAAACCCACTTAGATCCATGTTCGCAAGAGCTAAATCAGTTTGGAAAGCCCCGAGAGTTAGTTACTGATTACATTCGACCTTGACTCACAGCTTTCTTAATAGTTGAAAACTCGCAAAGCTTAAAGTTGTTTGGGATAATGTTAGAGGGCTGTAAGACTACGTACGGGGTGGATGTTGAGGGCCACTTCAACCTCCTCACCCAGCTTTTAACTTAGCTTCTTTTCCGCACTGTTCTACATGTCTGTTTATCCATCCGTCTATTTGTCTATCTATCTACCCCTCTATCTACAATGATTATCTATTTATTTTTCTTTCTATCTATTTTGTTACCTATCTATTTATCTGTCTATTTATTTATCTATCTATTTCTCCTCTGTCTCTCTTTTTCTCTCTTTCTCTCTTTTGCAATTTGTTTATTTCTATTTCTATCTTCATAAAGTGCTGCACCCGCCACAATCTGCGCCTTCATGTTCACAAAGTATTGTGCCTGCCACAAAAATTGCACTTCAAGGTCCACAAAGTACTGCGCTGCGCCTACCACGAAATGTGCACTTCGAGGTCCATAAAAAAGTGCCTGCCACGAAATTTGCACTTTAAGGCCTACAAAATATTGCGCCTGCTATATCTGTCTACTTATTCGTTTATATCTACTTGTCCATCTATGGTGACCATTTATTTTTCTATCTATTTGTTTGTCTATCTATCCATCCATCTATCTATCTATTTATCTATCTGTCTATCTATCGATTTATTTATCTATTTGTTTCTCTATTTCTCTCTCTCTCTCTCTCTTTTTCTTTCTTTTGTGACATAAATTGCACCTCCCACAAAATTTGCATTTCAAGGTCCACAAAGTACTGCAACTACCACGAAATTTGCACTTCGAGGTCCACAAAGTACTGCACCTGCCACGAAATTTGCATTTTAAGGTCCATAAAGATTGCGCCTTCCACGAAATCTGCACTTCAAGGTCCACAATGAGTCCACAACATATCTATCGACCTATCCGTTAATATCTGTCTATCTATCCACCTATCCATCTATGGTGATTATGATTGTTTTTGAAACCTGATTGATCGGATGAGGGAATTCGAATCGCCGCAACTCACCGTCGCTCAAGTCAAAAGGTGGGTATAGCTCGCGTGGCGTGCCGATGGGTGGACCCAACTTTGGTGGAGGGTTGGGCCATTTGATGTGCACTCTGGTTGGTGCCTGGCTACACTCGTCGTTTGGGCCAGGGACCAGTCAGGGGGAGGCAGTCCAGAAAGCGGCAGATTTAGCAGGGGAAAAGTGTCTCAAACATTGTCAAGTCGATTGTTCGCAGTACACGTTGGATTAGAACTTCAAAGTGCAAGTGAGCTTTGGTTTGACATTGTTTTCAGTGTTTGGTTGGTTTCTTGTGGTGCTCTATCATTGGTGTGGAGGCGGGAGGCGTAGTTTTGCCCCCATCACACCGGCATCAGAAGATAGCTCGCCGAGTGGAGCTGAAGAGAGAAGATCCCTTGCTCTTTCGCAACTCGCGGAAGTGAGGGCACGAGGTCGTCGAGATGTCCTTACTCAATAGGCAGTTGTTGCTCCAGTACGACGTTGCCGGACCCGTGCTCTGGCACGAGAGGCTGGTCTTAGCGCACATCCAAAATGAAGACTACATAGTGGCCACCCCGGACCAAGACGTTCACTACGAAGAATTGTCCTTGCTCAATGCTGACCTTCGGGGGATTCGAGTGAAGCCGTCTCCACATGCACTCCCTCCTGGCATTCTTGTACCCCTTGCCACCCTTTACACCGGTGGAAATGGCAGCACTGAGGTTGGAAGCTCAACGAGTCCTGGCGGTTGAGAGGACGGCACGTGGTCTCCTTGATGGGCCGGCGGCTGCTGTTGTTGCAGATGCGGGAGGGCTTCACGCTGGAACCTTGTACTGGGTGGCTGCTGAGAAGGTAGGTTCAGTCAAGTTCGGAGATGTTGTTCAGCATGTCGCAGCAACTCAGGCAGATGGTGCCAAGGCAGTGCACGTTTTACCTGACGGGGCCTCGATTTTTGTGCAATGCATTGATGGGGGACAACACAAGAAATTCATGCAAAGGGCATCAGACTATGATCCAAGGATTGTTGGGCAGGAATATGATGCTTTGGGAAAGCCAGAATGTTCCCTCAAAGATGTGTCGGCAAAGTTTGAGGAGATTAGCATGCAGTGGAATCTCACCGGACCTCGTACTAGCAGATGGTGCATCTCATACTTGGTTGTTGAAGGGTTGGGTTTTGAGGGCCATCATGAACGTTTCAGACAACTTTGCAAGATTGAGGCATCGTCTTGGGGGGTTCAGGAGCACTATCAGCTGAGCATGATTGCAAAACATGCGTTGCAGACAGACCAGCTTGATGGGTACAACAATCTCTGCCTCGAAGTTGTGTTTAGGCGGCTCCAGACAATTGAATACGCCTATGCAGA